TCCACCAACAATTTTTTCTCTCTAACTACTTGTAATAATCTGTGTTTCAGTTGCCGCGCAAGTTGGTACTGACTTTTCTGATCGGCCACTTTGGAGCTCGCCGTTTCTTTGTTGATTACTTTGGAGGTTACAATTCCATTTATTTCTGTCTGTTTCGTTGTTTTTCGTTGAACTGCGTTATGTTATGCTTCATCTTGAGAAGAAACCCCCGCCATGTTTTGATTTCTTGATTAATAAGCTCGTCTATTAATCTCGTTGAAATCCATCATCTATATCTGGTTCAGTCATTCCACTTTTTTGTTTGATGAAATTTCACTTTTAATCTGGTTTTGGTTAATTTTATGTCTCCAATCCTTCATGCTCGGTTCATAAGTTAGCAAACTTCTTTCATCTATGTTCTTTTCGCTTTTGGTCCCCTGATAGTTTTACAAAAATGGCTGTGTGTGTCTATATATCTAAGCCATCTATAGTCCAGTTTAATCAGATTGAAGAACAACTTAAGGGCATTTTCTGTTATGGTTGGTTAAAAAAAATCTGGAATTAAAAAAGAAAAAGTCAAAACGCAAACCCCCAGAATTAGTGTGAGGATTGAGTATTAAGCATTTCTTGGTGCTGTTCTTTTCTTTAACATGTATGCTTTTTCTGCTTCTTTAAACAGGGCTCCGCAGGACAAGGCCTAGTGGAAGGAATTGATTATCACTTGAGTGGTTTTTTACTACAGTTGCAGAATAGCTGCATTAAAAAATGGGAAAGCAATTGGTGTCTTGCAATTCCACTGTTCAATTTCAGAACAACCATGGATGCATGTGGGGTATATTTCATATGCTTGACTATCATCGTTGGCGTAACGTTAAAAAGGTCTTTCCTCACAAAAGGCATTACTTGGGAAGACATGCCAGATGTAAGCACTATTCCACTTCACTTTCTTTTTTCTTTTTTTAGTCATAGTTCCTTGAAAGTTGCTCAATTCTCTACAACTAAGTCTTAATGGAGTCGGCTATACAGATTGCACGATGTCATTATACTCAATTCTCTACTAGTATAAAGAATTAAAGATGTTCAATTCATTCACTCCTCTATATATTACCTCTGCAGATTATAAGAAAAGAAACACTTTGTCCAACCACAGTGATTGTGACGACCAAAGATTTGAGAATGTGGATGTTAAACCCCTACTGGTACTTTGTGATAACTTTCTCAGACTTGAGATGATGATATGAATATTATTTTAGTTAGACAACATGTACTGACTGAATTGAATCTGAAAACTTACAGGTTAGGCAACGTGGCAAAAAAGCGGGTGCTGCTGGCGAGAGTTCTGCCAGAAAAAGCAAAAAAGGATTGCGTATTGAAAATATGTCCGAAGAAGAAAGTTCCAAAGATCAGATCTTAAGCTTACAAAGTAGGCCACAAGATTTTGAGTCTTCTGATAAATCTGCAGTAGAAACTAGTAAACTTGATAGAGACGTTTTCAGTGAGTTTAAGGAGCATGCTGATGTTGTGGAGGTATTCAGAGCAGAAAAAGATTTCCTCCTGAAATTCTTAAAAGATCTGAATGTGGGCGCGAGAAGCTTTCAAAACAAGAAAGCAAGATTGACAAAATCAGGGTCGTTCCCCATAGCAGCATCTTCACAAGTGCGGAACCTTAAATCAACGAGCCTCAAACACAAGCAAACAGAAATATGGGCCTTTCCTAAGGGGGAAAAGCTGCTTTTTGGGACTCAAGCACTAAATTTTTTTGCAAAAGATGATGCTTGTATGAAAGAAGTGTCATTAGTGGGTGATTATGGTCTGGATAGTACTATGAAACAATCAGGGTTTGCTTTGTCAGGGCCTTCAAATGGATTAAATCACAAACATAAAGGGTGGAATCAACTGGTTCTTCATCGTTTCAAAGTTATAAAGCAGAGGATAAAGCATGCTCTTATGGAATTAACCAAAAATGGTTATCATACTTCTCTTGAAGCATTCCGTCGAAGAGTTTCATATGAAAATAGGCTTGGGAAAGAGGCGCCACAACGTTTAGAGGATGGCATGACTGAGATTATAAGCTCAAATGAAATTAAAGCCTCTGATTATGACTCCAACAAGCATGAAATTCCCCTCATAAGAAGAACATCTTCTCTGAATGAGTCACTGGATAGATATACTCAATTATTTGAGAGAAGTTTTGGCAAAGATATCAAGTGGCATGGCTCAATGTTCAAGAGCTTAAAAGTGACAAATGCAGATGACAATCACACAGGTGGTTATGCTCCAAAGTTGACCAAAAGGAACTTGTCTCTCCCTAATATCGAGTCCATAGGCTTCATTCTTCATGAGGCCATTTGCGATGCAAATGATGCAGGGAGTATTCCAGCAAGAACTTCTTTGGATAACAACAAAAAAGAAGAAACTGATATTCTTGTTCATCGAAAATCAGCAAGCCTTCTTGTGAGCAAAGACAAACTACTAGATGATATAATAGAGACTGAAGTTAAGGAAGAGGAGGAAAGCAGTGGGAACGATGTAACTCCCAATCCTTTATCCCATTCAACTGCAGAAAATGAAAGTTCTTGCCAAGAAAATGTGGAAATAGAAACGACAATGGATCATGGCAAGGGTATGATGGATATTCTTGAAGCTAGCTGTGAAGACAAGACAACCGAAAATACAACAGGTAATAAATATATGTTCATGCATCTAAAGATGATTTTTTTTTTTTAAAGATTCCATTCAATTTTATTGATAAATCTGATATCAGATTAAACATGTTTGGTTGGAAGAAAAATTTGGTTAACTTTTCTCCCATTTGATTAACTCATGAACAGGTACTGAAAGAAATATAAGAGGCTCTAGCATGAATGATATGGAGGAAGATTTACCGAAAGTAGAAAGCAGATACTCTTTGCAAGCAAAAGGGACAAACAAGAGCAGTGACAATCATTTCCTGCTCTTGGAATCAGATATAATAAATGATTCAAATTTCAAATATGTGAAGCACATTATTGAACTTTCAGGCTTCATGGAGAATGACCATATCCAAATGTGGCACACAGTGAACCAACCACTAAAGCCATCCTTATGCAAAGAAACAGAATTCTTTGAAGAGATTGACAAGCCCATTGATCATCAGCTTCTTTTTGATATAGTGAACGAGAGTCTGCTTGAAGTATTTGAAGGATCATCGACCTACTTCCCTCGGCCCTTCTCCTTCAACCTCCGCCTTCATCCTACACCGAAGGGTCATCGTCTTCTTAGGGAAGTGTGGAATAGAGTTAACTTGTATCTGAGCTTAATGCCGGAATTAGATCAGACATTAGACGATGTTGTGAGACGAGATTTGGCAAGTAATGTCTGGATGAACCTTCAAAGTGAAGAAGAGTGTGTAGCACTTGAACTAGAGGACATGATTGTGGATGATCTGTTGGATGAAATAATCTTCTGTTGAGGTTTTCATAGATCTAAGCTTCAAATCAAATCTAGCAGCTTGGATTGTTTGAGCATATGATTGTAGCAGCCACAGCATTCATGTGGCACAGTGAGCTTATTAATGTTGCAGCCACATGAATGCTCGCTTATCGCGGAAACGCTTAGAAAGATGCGAATTGGAGTGATCCTGCTTCTGGTCAATTTTAACTGACAAGTGCCAGCATAGATGGGGAAAAAAGGGAGATTCTGTGTTCATGTTCATATTGGTCCGCTGGTCGATGTTCTGTAGAGTTTATTAAGGAGTTCTGTGTGTGATTTGTTTGTAAATACTAAATAATGTATATGATTGCTGGAGTTGAAGAAGTGTTTTAGACTTTTTTTTTTTTTTTAATAGAATACAATAGAGTGGGATGCATAAAAGTTTTATATATTGTTAATTGAGAGAATTTCTTAAAAGAAAATGAAATAGTTTGGAATGACTTTTTTAATACCATTTGTTTTTAGTTATTCTAAATTCTTTTTTACTTCAATTTAGAAAGTCTAGAATGAAATGGTTTGTTATAAATAATATTATTACAAAAAAATTAGAGGAGAAAAATAAATAAAAATATATTTTTTCTAGCATAAACTTTTTTTAAAAAAGTTGTAAAATGTATTTTTTTTTTTAATTTTCCCCCCTTCCTTTTCTTTTCATTCCAAATGGCGCTACTGATTAGTTTTTTTTTTTTTTTTAAAGAATCTCATTTAAAAATTATAAATGTAACACATTTTTAAATAAAACTTAAAGTATTTTGAAATTTCAATATAAAATGTTGAGCTTGAATTAAAATAAATTATCAAAATATCTTTTTATAACACATTGTAAGGTATAACTTTGTTAAACTGTTATCATTACTTATAAAATTAATTATATTATTTATTAATTTTTTTTGTTACTTGCTATATTTAATATATTGCAGCTAATATGATTATTGATTTTTAAGAAGACTTGTTGTTTTCTTCATTTTACTTATTAATTTTTTTATATTACTTGCTAAGTAAAGTCCATATAGCGAGGTAAATATATTATTTCTTAAGTTAAAATTACTTATATTATTTATTAAATGATTTATTTTATTTATTAATTTTTTTATATTATTTGTTTTGCTGGAACATATTATTGAAATAAAGATATTTTAATCATTTTACTTTACAATATTATTTCAATTTAAAAGAAGTATAATTTCACATTATGTTGAATCTAATTTAAAAATATATCGAATCTAAGACCAAGGTTCTAAAATAAAATTCTCCCTCTTAAAAAAAATATTAATTAATAGCTGTTAAAAAAATTTATATTAATAAAAAATTATTTATTATCAAAATTTAAAATTAATACTTGTTGATTTGAATTAGTTTTTTTATTAACAAATATCTATTTAAATTTTAACAACAGTTTATTATAAATTAATAATAATCTATTTTAATTTTTTTATTTAAATTTTAATAATAATTAATTTTCAGAAACATTAAAAATAAAGTTCTCAAGCTCAATTTTTTCTTTTATTTTTAAAATAAACATTCGAAATTTCATGAGCTTAAGTGCTCAACTCAGGCACTCAGTCGCCGTTCTCTCTGTGCGGTTCGTCCATAGCTCACAGCTGTTTCCTCAGTCGTTAACCCCATCCTCGCCGGCGCTACTGTCCGCCGTCCTCGTACCGCTTGTGATTAGTCGTCGTGATAGAGTGGCCTCATCTGTCACCCATCGCCCAGATCCGCATTGCCATCTGGAGAAGAGAGGTAAGGTTCCATTCTGCCATACCCACTGATTTCTCATTCCTTAGATGCTTTTAATAAATAGAATGCTGTACGTTCTATGGTTTCGTGTCATCGTTTAAACCCCTCTATCTTTCTACCTTTATTTATAGTTCTCTAAATTCGAGTTTGTTTTTTTCAAAGTGGTTGGGTGTTTCGCAGTGAGATCTTTTGCTAGAGAATAGGGCGTAACTTACATTGTCTTTTGTTTTTCTCTTTTTAATCATATGCAGTTTTGAGATTGCAATTATTAGTCACCTGCGGGAGCAAGACATGAATAGTAGAGAACATTATTTATATATATGCACATGTATATACTGTCTGCTCAGAAGTTGTTGACTGTAGGCGAGATGCCATATTGGCCTTGGGATGCTCTATTTACGCTTGAATTGTTGGTGTTGCTGTACTTGTTTAGGGACTGGGTTCTTGTGAAAAATAAGGTTATACTTGCTGTTAAAGTGATCTAAACTGACGTTTCTCCCTGGGAAGTAATCAAATGTAAACTTGGCATTAAATTAAATTAAGTCATGAAGCATTGTTCTAAGATCATATTGTATAATTGGTAGACTTGTTTGGACTAAAAATTGATCACTATTCAAATACACAATCAAAAACTGGCTTTAATCTGCGATGCCATTTTTGACTAATCAAAATCAGTATCCATCAGAATTCTAGCTGAATTAAAAAAAAAAATCAAAAGCATAACGAAGCAAAGATTAAGGAACAAAATCTGATGCCTTCTTTTTTCTTTTTTTCCCCTAAGCACGAGGCCCCTCTTGAAGTTTTGGGCTTGACAGGCTTGTATATTTTAAAGTCTGATTGTGCCTCAAGCTTGCTTATTTTAAACTCTTTGATTTAAAAGTCATAAGCTGAATCAAATTCATAATTATGTAGTATAGTATAAGAAAAACTACTAATTTAGGCTTTTCAGTGTGACTCGTTGGTTGACCAAACATGGACAAGAGCATGATAGGAGATCTGGAATCCCTTCCAGAGGAAGATAAGCTCAGAATGGCTGCCATGATTGATCAGCTCCAAATCCGAGACAGGTTCCTCCACTTGTAAAAATACTCTGTGTTTTTACCCCTTACAGTTTCATGTATTTTGTGCTTGCAAGTCCATCCTGCTAATCAAGTTTGTTTGGGCTCTGATGTTCTGTGAAGATGGAATAGCCTTAAAGTTGAAGCCTTTGCCAAATTTTATGGCATAGTTATTGTGCATATATTTGCATCAAAGGTCAGATTTTGACTGGCATTCCAATTCTGGGGCTTCATCGTACTTAGTAATTCATGAGAATCACAAATCTTTTAATTCTTGTGGTTCTCTTCCTGTGAAGCCAGAATGAAGTTCTCCTTAAAACCAGTTCAACAAGTCCATGTTGCACCTGGACGTTTTGGGAACAACATGTTGTTTGTGTCTTTCCTTAGCTGTTATCAACCAGCCTTTTCTAGCATTTGTCTGAAAATTAAATTCTAATCCAATGTGCTTAGCAGTCACCTTTTCGGTGCACGGAAGGTTCAATGACCATCTCAACCTTTGGATTAATTTTTGAATGGTTAGGATTTAACATTTCATAAAATTGAATTTTTTAATTTTTCTAATTATAATCATAAATAAATAAATTTATTTATTTATTTTTCATAATTTCACATTTTAATAATAATTTTAAGAAATACTAAATCCTACCCATCCAAAATTTGATCTAACAATTGAGATGGTAAATGGAGAGGAAGTGGAGAGAAAATAAATGGAGAGAAGCTAAGTCCTAGAATGTACCTTTTAGTTCATGCCTTGTTTCTACAGCACCTCTAATGAAAGGAAGATTAGATATTTAAACTTAGTGCATGTCTGGTATATGGAAAAGTGCTTTCTAGAAAGGAAAGGGGAAATGTACCTTGAAAGAAAATGAGATAGGTGCATTTTTCATTTCCTTTACCAGAAGGAACTTTTCTGTATATCAAACATGCACTTAGTTTACCTCCATTAATGCAGGTGATGGTTTTGGTTCAAGTTTAAACTCCTATATGCTTCTATTTTTAGCACTTTTTTGCTCGTTCATTTCTATGTAGCTTGATTAGACTCGTCTCTATGAGAAGTGTAAGTAGTCAAATTTATGAATAACTAGTATCCATAATGAAACGTAGGGCAATAGTACAAAGGTGCTCTGATTATTTTTGTGCTGCCCTTTTACTCTTTCAATCTCTTGTTTGTTCTTCTTGTTGAACCATTGCTTGGTTTGAGATTGGAATCTGATTCTAATAACTTAATTGCAGTCTAAGAATGTACAATTCACTGGTGGAGAGATGCTTTAATGATTGTGTTGACAACTTCAAGCATAAATCCCTGCATAAGCAAGAGGAAAGCTGTGTTCGAAGGTGTGCAGAGAAGTTTTTAAAACACTCCATGCGTGTTGGCATGAGGTTTGCAGAGCTCAATCAAGGAGCAGCAACACAAGATTGAGAACTGTGATTAGACCAAGTTAGTTTGACCTAATCTGTATTTAGGATCTTGTCAGACATGGATCACAAACAAGCCCCTTCTAAATATACAGAAGTTAAAAACTCAGCCTTGCCTGTGATAAGCTCTTATATTGGTTTTGCTCTTTAGATATGAGGATAGATTGTCGCTATTTGAATCTCTGGGTTGCAATGAGTACTAAAAAATTCGTAATGAATAAATTTTGGTTTTATCATCATTGTGCCTCATTCACGGAGGTTTTAGTTTGTGACATTGATTTGATCATCAGAAGACGTAAGCTAGCTAGTAAAATTCGTTATTATTTGGGTATAACATGATTTTAGGGTTTCCCTGGAAGCTTCAAGGTTTGAGATCATATTGATGAACTATCTTCCTAGGGAATTGTTGCATGTGTTTGTAGTTGAGATCATGGGATTCAATGGGCCCAAGCGACAATCCTAAAATTTGTGAAGATTAGTCAACCTCAGTGTCAGGTACAGCTCCTGTACTCATTGTTGTGGTAAGATCTCAACCGTTTAAATTCAGTTCAGACAGTCTAGATTTAAAATTTGACTTCCAATTCTTGACTAATAAATTTATTTTTAATAGAGTGATACAAGATTATCTTTATTTTCAATTCTTTATCTAATAAAATAAAAATTTATTAGACAATCCAAATTGACGATAGTGATAAGCATTGAAGGCAAATCCGTGTTGTTACTGCTATCGCATGATTTCGAAGATTTTCCTAGAAGAAAGGGGGGAAATTGCCATATAACCTGTAGCCTGAAGTCTCGTAAGATGTGTTCCCATCGAAATGCCCATTCCATTTGATTTTCACTTCCCTGATAGAAATACCAACAAGCACTCGTTACAGTGTCAGATTAAGGACTGGGGTCCAAGAGGACAAGAGTCACCAAGAATTTGATGAGACATAGCTTGAACAGAATCAGATACAGAGTAATAGATTTAGGCTCTTAGCTAAATTTGCTTAGTCAGTCCAGTTGATAATGCTTCCATATACACTATGGTCTTCTTTTTACTTTGTTGTGCAGTGTATATTACATTGATTGATATTGTAGCCTGCCTTTTGACAAAAAGTTTGTTCCTTGTGGTATATTATCTCTATATAATGTGTCCTCTTTTAGTTCCAACTCAAAAATGTTAGCAATATAAAAGATGATGCATATTAAAAAGCATGTCAAGTTACTAGAGTTAGATTTAGCATAAGTAGCTAATCTCTCATAAAGTGATGAACTCAAATTTGAATCTTTGTGTCCTCTTTTAGCTCCAACTCAAAAATATTAGCAATATGCAAGATGTGACATAATAAAAAGCATGTCACGTTACCAATAAGAGTTGAATTTAGTGCATGGAGTTGGGCTCTCAAAACATGACAAACCAAATTTCAGATCTTCATAAAAAGAAATACTTACATTTAATGTCAGATCATATTTTAAATAAAATTGTGTCCAATAAGAGGACATATGTGCACTATATAAAATAAACAAAGAAAGAAACAAAAAGAAAAGAAGGCTCTTAGGTTGATGAGTATGAAAACTGGATCAAAAGTTTCATGAAATACCTTTATATCAACCCAACATAACGCAACACAACACAACTAAACTCTTGGCAATATTTGAAGGTCTCAATTTTTGATGGGATAAAAAAATTACTCAAGTCAATGTTTTCTGCAATTTAATGGAAAGCAATCAATCTCACTTGAAATGAGCATACCCAGAATCATCCCCTTACCAGCAACATCAAAACGATCCAAAATGTTATTTGAGATTGGACTGAGACAGCTTGAAGGAAACATCATATGTAAATACAATATCCTTATCGGCATCAATTTCATGCGGATTTATGACTTGTATGAGGAAGTAATTACTTAACATCCATCAAGATAGAACTAAGAAGGATTGTCGATATGAATGGCAATGAGACTTTTCATTATCATTAAGAATTAAGAATTGAAATATAAAAATTAAAGCCGAGAGATTAAATCAATAAAATTTCTAAATGCAAGGGATTAGAAGTTATTACATCCTTTCTTTCTTTCTTTTTCTCACAATGCTACACCATGACAATTCTCATCAAGGAAAATTGACGTTTTATTAATTAGCAAAAAGTCTCTGCATAGAATTCTTGTGCATGGCTTCCTAGTAGTAGGAAATGATCTACTAACATCCATATTTAACAAAGAGTAGCTTTACAAAATGGTGAAATACTTGTCCTTAATGAAATGCGGCTTAAGCTTGAAATTTATTATTGGAAAAATATATCTGCAAGTCCTTATAGTTTTACTCAATTTTCAATTAAACCCCTGCAATTTATTTTGTTTTAATTGAGTCCTTATAGTTTAATCAATTAAAATTTTTTAATCTCTAAAAGTTAAAGTCCTTAAATTTTTCCTTAAAAAACAAAATTAAAAACTTTCATATTTTTTGTTAGATGATTGTATGACTTTAAAATTAATTACATAATTTTTATTACTCAATTTATATAATTAGGTTATATAATTAGGTTATTTTCTAAATATTTGTTATACAGAAGAAAATTTCATGAAAAAATTAATAAAATGTGAATGGTGTATTAAATCAAATTTTATTTTTTCAATTTTGACTAAAGGTACTAAATTAAATTTTTTAGAAACTCCAAATGTATTTTTGTTTTTTAAAACTTAATAATTTGTTATTAATTTTAACATTCAAGGAATGAAACATATAACAAGATTAAAGTCTACTTTTTTCTAAGTACGTTGGGCATCACATACTCTTAAATGGAGTAACATTTTTCTTGAACTCTCTTTTAGGAGAGCAAAAATACTTTTATGTCAAATTGTCGTTTGGTATGCCATTAGTTGTTGCAGTTTGAGTTGGCTTCCTATATCTGTACATTTGACACTTTGACCATATGAATGATGACCACACATACCAAATAAGCTCTGTCCCCAAGTCACAACCCCACACAATCAGAATAGAATGAAATGAAATTTGCATTGCGTCCAGCATTGGTGACACTTGTTAGTGCCCTCTGAACATTAAAATAATCAAAGATGTTCATGCAAATCTTGGCATTGCAACCCAACTTCCACTCAGGCACTCAACTTCATGCAGAAAAATGTTCAGATGATTGAGAAGAGAGTTTGAAAGAGCAGTCTCCACAAGAGGAATTTGCACCGTTAGTGATGGTGTTTCGATAGTAGCTCCTAGGGCTACACAAAGAATTGGACAAGACTGAACTTTAACCTAATTCGGAGTCTGGTCCTTTTCATGAAAAGGACTAGGTTAGGTAACCCGTAGTCCGGTCTGGTCCTGTGAAAACCCGGAGATTAACAAGACTGGACTTGGTTCATAGGACTGAAAGACTGGTCCTGTTAATCCAATACTCACTTGGCCTTTTTTTCTTTTTTTTCTCTATGTGACCAATAATCTATTTCAACTTAACAAATTCAATTAAGATAATAAAAACACTTATTATAATAAATCCATAATAATTTCTAACACCAAGAAAATAATATTTTAGTTATAGTCCAAACTCCAAATGATTTAAATACATAACTTCAATAAAAAATCAAAAGAAAGACCGAAAATAGACCAAAGGAAAAAAATCAGCAAGAACAGAAGTAATAAAAATCAGCCCACAGACATGTTCCTTCAAAGTTCGAACAGATCAAGATCAGAGTGCAAAGTACAAGGTAAGGGCTAGGGCTTTGGCGCACTGAAAAAATTGAGAATGAGAGTAAAGTTGAGTGAGTGGCTAAGACGCTAAGTACTGTTGAGTAACAGTATTGAGGTTTTTTTTTTTCAATCAGAGTGCAAAATGTAAGACAGGATTAAGACTTTTTTTTACTAAAGCTTATTAATTAATAATTTATAAATTAATTTTAATTATATTAAAATAATTATATAAGACCAAACCGGACCACTTAATTCAGATGCTTGGTCTCTAGTCTGGTCTTACCCGAAAAATCAGTCCTGTCTTTTTGGTCTTTTTGGTCCTATAGGACCAACATTTTACAGGACTGAACAGGATCGGATTTTCATAGATCGGACCGGACCGAACGAGACCACGAGACTTTTGCACAGCCCTAGTAGCTCCTCATGGGCGTTAAGGTGACTTCGCTCGTGGCTGTGGGCACCAACTTATGCAAAATTACCAGTTTTCTTCTGGCATTGTCGCCGGAGATTGGCCAAAATCTTAAGCTCGATGTGGTTTATCCCATCAAAAGGCTACAAACCTGCAGCCTTTGCATTGACACTAACCATCCATTTGGATGAGAGAGAAAAAAATGAAGAGAAAACTAGAAAAAAAAAATATTATCACAAGAAGTAAGTACCTTTTAAGTCACAAGAAGCTTTTATGAAATTAAGAACTAAACGCAAACGAGTGGCATATAGATCAATGGACAATGTAGAACATTCAACTCATAAAGTGTCAACAGCATAATGTAAGTATTGATGGCAAAATCCACCTTGCACTCTAACAGAAAACTAAGAAGCTAGTCCAAGAAACTTCAAACTAAAATAACAAAATTGGAACTCGCTACATTCAATATTGCAGTCTAACCAATGATGTTTTGGGCCTTGTTCAGGATCACTCCTTCGTATTTCACTTGGAACCACTTCATGGCATCCTCTTTTGTGACACGGTGCTGGATCCCAACACGGGACTTGCACCTGCGGCGACGTCCCACACGGTAACCAGGCCGTTCCAGAACAACATAGAAGTCCATTCCATAAATACCAGTAGACGGATCATACCTGAAGCAGAGCCAAATTCCAATACAAAGCGTTAGAGAGAAGAAACCAAATTGAGTTTCCAACACAAGATAAAAGGAATTTTGCACAGCAACAACTAGGCACATACGAACGTAAATTAAATCACCAGAAAACCAAACTTATTGAGACTAAAGCTCAGAGAATTCCATTAAGGAATAACTGACTAGTTGATAAAAACCACAAAATAACACAACCTGTAAAAGGTTTACATTCCATTAAACATACATCGTCGATCAACAGATTAAACAAATTAGTTGATAAGAAAAGAAAAAAAGGCTTTTCAAATTACTTGATCCCTAAATCAATATGCTCCTGGATGCCGAAGCCAAAGCAGCCTGTATCACTGAAGTTTCTTCTCAGCAGTTCATATTCCTTCACCTTCAGACCACTCTCCAAAAGTTGCATTGCCTTGTCACCTCTAACAGTGACATAGCACGCAATCTTTTCATTCCTT